AGTTACGTTGCCTATATTTTTAAGAAATTTAAAAAGGAAATTTACGTAACGTGGGAATGCGACAGCAGAATTTCACTCTTTTATGGCGCTTTAACACCGGCCCGCCGGCAAAGCACACTACCATAAATTACTTTCCGAACAGTCGACGGTAGTCAGCCCTTCCGGATTCCGCCGCACAAGGTGCTGATGTTAACCGGACGGACCTTCGCTTTCTTGCCTACACCAATCAAAAATTGATCCAGCTAGTAGGTACTTCTTTTCCTTGCTCTGTAATAGGGTTCAGGGTTTTGTGATTTCTGCTGATTTCTTGTTCTGAATTTCAATTTATCTTGGAACCTTTACACTGTTGTTCTGGAGGAAACGTTGTTCTATTTTAAGTCTTTGGAGTTTGGACTTTATTATTATTATTTATTTTTTGGGGTAAAGTGAATTCCTTTCTGTTTTCCCCTCTCTTTACTCTCATTATTTTTGTTTGGATTTTCGGTTTCCCCCTTTAAAAGCTATGGCAGAAATTTGACTTCTTTTTTTTTTTTCTGGTTTTTGTTGTAATTTTGACTAAAATTTGCTCCGTTTATAATTTGGGTAAAATGTTTGGTAGGTGGCTGGTGGTGGTGGGCTCCTTTTAAAAGTGAAAAAAAAAAAAAAGGGGTCAAAATTTGAGGGGAAATTGCTGCAAACAACGCAGAATCTTTCTACTATCAGATACGAAGTACAAATCTTTCTATTCAAGCATAGGATTTTTGTGTTTTGAGTTATTTGTGCTTCTTTCCAGTTGATTTCGTGTTTGATTCAACTTAACTAGTCAAAATATTTATGTTGAAATTCGATGGTGGTGGATTCTTCATGCATTGGTGAAAAATTACTTGAGAATGAGTTCAAGTTGAATTTGGGGTGATGTGATATCAATATGGGCCTTGACTTAGTTTTGAAAGATAAGTCAAAAACGGGGATGGAAGTGGTTTTCCCGAATAAGGAAAACATAATGGAATCCAAAAGACGAGTTTATACATTCTGTAAACAATTGTCGGGACCCCAATTTCAAGGAAAATTTAGTTGAAGGCCAAGGGAACATACCAGATAGAAATGAGGATTTGGAGCTTAATATAACAGAATGCAGTCTTTCTAGTGAGAGTGGGCTGGTTGATGGTGCATTCCAGGGTGGAACTGAGGCTTCCAGTTCATTCAGCGATACCCCAATGGGGACTGGTAAAGGTGCTATCTTGAGCGATGCTGAATCATTAGTATTTTAGGATAGAACAATGGGATCAGTGTTTGACGGCTTTGACAAATCATTTCCGTTGAGGTACTGTTTAGTATAAAATACTTGGACATTCTTTTGGTTATCAACTCTAAGATTGTAGTTCTTCATTGTAGTTTTTCCTTTCTGCTTCGTGGTCACATTCAATGAAAATTCTGTTATTCTTTCAGGTAAACCATAAGATTTCTGGCTATTGATTCACTCTAAAAATCCAAATATTGCTTCTTCTTTTTTTCTCTCTTTTCTTTTAGTTCTTGGTGTACTGACTAGGAGTCTCAAATGCCTGTTCAAATTTGTTAATGGAGAAAATTTCTCCAATGTAATTGATCCATGTTCTTCAATTTGCCTAACCTTTGGGCTTAATTGGATTTCTAGTAGCTTGATTTTGTCATTTCATAACATAAATGCATCTCAAACTCCATCACATTTTACTTGCCACATTTATGGGGGTGTAATTTATTTGAAGGGATTGGTAGATGGATTTTAATTTGCATGTGACCAAAGTGTAAACATCAGTTGTATTGATATTTTTAATTGAATGCACTGTGTCTCATTCCTCGGTTAAGTAAATTTGTCAAGATAGGTTAAGCCTTAAATCCCTTTAATAGTGAGCTTTTTAAACGCTGGATGCAGTCCTTTATACTCTCTTTTCAAGCTTTCTCCTCGACTGAACCTTCACAATTGCTGATATCCTTTCTTCTAGTATACCTTTATGTTCTGTTCTAACTCTAGCAAGCCAGACTGTTGGTGTTTAAAAATTGGCCACCTTATGGGATTATCAAAATGAAATCAATGCCAATAGAACAATTCTTTTCACCATTTAGCTACAATGATTATTTAAAATTGATAAAATGTGAATGATTAGCTTTTTTTTCTTTTTTGTAAGCTATATGTTTTTGCTTGGTTTGACTTCTTATCACATTTTTATATTTTGTTTTTCTTTTCAACTTTTTTTCAGGAAGAGAAAGTTGACAGACCATTGGAGGAGGTTTATATGACCTCTTATGTGGCACTGTAAATGGATAGAATTGCAACTTAAGGAATTTAAGTCCCAAACTCTGAATCATGATAGAGAACTCGCAGAATACGATCACAAAAAACAGGTTGAATTTGAAAAACTCACATATGAAGCTTTTCATACTAAGTCACAACCATTTTCTTCTCAAATTCAAAGAAAGAAGGTACTGAAGAGGAAGAAAAGAAAACAAGTTGAAGAGACTACTGATATGTTGGCATCTATGTCTCATCACAACCTTTTCTCATATTATGGTGTGAAGTTATGATTCTTCATATGGTATTTATTTTCTTAGCACAAAATCAGATAATCATCTTTTTCTAAACTCTACCAGGAAGGAAGAAATCTAGTGCTGGTAACTCTTCCGTGAATGGGGGTTGGGGTAATTTAGGTAAGAAGTAATGACATGGTTTTGCCTAAATTTTGTGTTGCCTGGCTTGTAGGTGAACTAACACCAAGCGGCAAGGAAATAGAAAATAAAGCAATGCAGAGAATTTCTTAATTTTTCTTATGATTTATCATAATAATTAGCATCAAGTTTAAATTCTTTGAAGAACTTTTGGTTTCAATACCTTTCTTTAAGAATTGGTGAAAATTTTGACGTTTTGAAATCATGTTTTCGCTTTCTGTTATGAAATTTAATATCACAGCACTTGTCATGGATGTAATGGATGCTTTTTTATTGGACACAGGTGTTATAAATTTAATGTCTGTTTAGAGAAGTTGTTATTCTAATGATATTTTCTGCAGAAGAAAATATCATGTTGTAGTTGGTCAAAAGGTTTTCTGGTCATCATTTCTAGGCCTGGTATTTTCCCTTGCCATCAAGGATTGAGTTTTGCCCTAAAGTAATTAAAATTTACCAATTTCTTATGTGATGGTTTCTGTAGATATCAAGGCAATTCATGATAGTGGTGACTTTGGGGTTAATGATGGATGGTCATCATCTATTGCACTTAGAGATGGCAGCAATTCATTGGAGCAGATACTTTGCAAGATTGAAGTAGTAAAGTCCCAAGTTTGCAACCTAAGGGCCCGAGTTCACAAGGGGTAGAGTGAAAGTCCTGGAAAGTTCTATTCCATTAATAAATTGACCTTGCTGGCACCATGCAATGGATTGATGGATTGTGGAAATCATGTTTCTCCTATTTAAATAGATCTGTGAATGCTTTGTTGCAGCATATTCCAAGTTCAACATGGAAGACCTATTTATGCACCAAAGTGCAGTTTCAAGTCGTGGAGAGGTAACCCCTTTTGTTGATGTCATTAAGAGCATAAGCCAGCATCAGGTTGGGGTTTTATGTGAAAATGTAATTATTCATTTATATTTTATTGGCTGTCTTTTATTATTTAATTTGCAAACATGCCAACTAATCCTCACCCCAGGTAATGGCAATGGGTTAAAATTTTAAGTCATTAAGTCATTTCTTGGCTTTTGTTACTTTCCTCCATTGTTGAATAAATTATTTTCCTTTCTAGAATTGCTAGAAACATGAAAACTTTAAATTGTTTTTTGCTAGTTGATTTACATGAATTTTGGTTTTCAGACTTCTGATAAGTTGGCTGCTATGGCTACTCTTTCATCTTAACAACTGAGGCTTGGTGGTGGTATTGCAGTTGGCCCAATTTATGGTTTTCATTCTATGTTTCCAGTGTCCCTTTCATTCTTTTGTTCATATTACTTCCCTGTTATTCTGCTGGTAAACAATTGTTTTGCTTTATTTGGCATTTAATTTATGAGAAAATGTTAAAATGTCATACTGTTTTGACCAAATATACAGTACAATTATATCCATTTTTCTTTCATGTATGCAGGCTGAGGAAGATATTTTGATACGTAACCAGGCAGCCCAGGAAGAGTTGTGTAGTTATGGAAGCTATATAAATCTGCAGGAGGACAAACCTCAAGCATCATTGGAAAGGCCAGAAACTTTTTGGCCAGCCCTTACTTCAGGAGAGCACTTGTCCATGGAGCTGGAAACTATTTATCCAGAACCAGCTCCAGGAGGGAACTTGCCCGAAGTCATCCACGCAGTCTATTATACAAAATGTAAGGGTGCCTTGCACTTCACTATTTCTCCAGGCCCAGCTCTAAGAGGGAACTTGCCCACAAACACATCCACGCTGTCTATCATACAAAATGTAAGGGTACCTTCCACTTGCAAGGCAAAGGTCCCCACCAAGAAAAGGAAGTGAGGACAAAAAAAATGAGGGCTCAATTAATTGGGGCCAGAGATCCTCAGCTTAGCTGGAGATATTACATGTTTATGGAACTTTTTTTGGGTATATCAGGGAGTTAGTTGCTTGGTAGTATAGAAATTTGAACTTTTGACCTTAACCTCAAATTAAGGTTTTTAAATTAGTGGGTATCAATTTTACCAAGCTGTTATTGGTACCTGTTTATGGAACTACCTACTGTAAAACGATAATTTGTATATGCTGTCTGTTATATTCTGCCATGTATCTTTGCCCTTGCTCCCACATATTCTGCTGCTCATCATCTGTAAATTTTGTTTTCTCTCCTGAAAGCTATAAGAAATGCTTCAGATTTGATGCTTTGCAATATATTATTAGCATCTAGGTTCTGGCTGATTTCTGGTATTCCTTCAATATCTAGAGGAAAATGAGATGCTCTCATTAGCAATTGTCACAATAAATACAATGGCTTAAACATGTGGAAGGAATCTGTAGCAGCTCGCTCCTTCAAAATCAAACAGACCCCACAGCATTTTCCATTAAAGCTTATTGTAACTACCAAAACAACCGAATTTAAAAGTAATCTAAAATGGTGGCAGATACCTAACCGTATGGTTGTAGAGCTACTGGACATTATGTATCCAGCTAACTTGTGTTTGGTTCCGCATACACAAATTTAGAGTGGCTTGCATTTGTGAGGAGGAAAAAGATACCTTCTAGTATATTGTAGTGTACGGTCACATCTTTTAGATGGTAACTAACACAAGAGAGTCCAAAGGTACCCCTAGCCTTCTGAGGGAAATAACATCCATAGATTGTTTGTGCAGTGTAACCAAATTTGGTACGCAAGAATCCAACCCTCTCGGATTGGATTTCCCAAGTAAACACCCAATTGAGCTACATTCACAGTAGCACAATTTGACAATTTAACACAATTTGACAATTTAACATGGGTAATGATACAAAGGACGAAAAAATGAGACGAATTCATGAGACCAATGATATAAAAAGAACATGAAAAAAAAGTGAGACAAATGTAAATTTTATTTTATTAATATATTATTAATAAAATTATTTTTTATATTACATCATTAAAAACATTTTAATAAATTTATATTATCAATTATTTTTAATATACAATTTGGATGGTGAAAAATTAATTCTTTTATATTTTTTAAAAAGAAAAACAAAAAGGGGCAAGCCGCGACACATCATTACAAGACAGATTAAAAAATAATGTAATGACGAGAATGTCCCATCGTCCAACTCAGCCAACCCAACTAACCAATAGGGAAAAAGGAGAAGAGGGCCGTAAGACTCAGCAACCGAATCACCCAAATCTGCCTTCTTTCCGCCTCTACTGGAGTCACAGGAAAATCAGAGATCAACCAACTTCAATCCACATCTGCATTCAGGTATTGTTTCTTCCTCTTCTGGGTCTTTTGTTTTAGTGTTTATTTTTTAGTTGATTAGCGTTTTCTGATTTATTTCTTGGGAGAGTCGTTTTGTTTTTGGTTTTCTGCATTTGGGTAATTTATTTTAAGGTCTGGGATGAAGGAGGGGAATTCTGGGTTCTTGATTTTGTGTGGGAAATGGTAGATTTTGAGAATTAAGCTGAAAAGATCATGATTGAGTTCATTTCCCCCCTTGTTTTCATAGTTTTTGAACCAGCAAATAGCTGAAATTTGCTTCCTTTGGACTTCATTATTGTTCAGTGACAAGGAATTTTGTCTGATTTGATACTTTTTCATGTGGGCATTTATTTTCTTGAGTAGTTCATGTGGTTTGAATGTTTGATTTTAGGTAATAACTGAGTAGGTTATGGGGAAATGGGGTTTTATCTTCCGGGCCATGCCTCTTGTGGTAGTAGCGAGCAAGACAGGTTAAAGTTGGAAACTTTAGAACAGGAATTGACTTCGGATTTGAAAGGCTGTACAAGTCTGTCAAATCATCAATTTTGAAAAATGACATCATTAGCTTATGATTTTTTACACTTCTATGGGGAAAGTAATAAGGGAATTGTATCGAATTTAGTTGTAAGTGAAAGAAATTTGACAAAGTATATCCTCTTGAGGATAGAATGCAGGAATTCAGTTGTTATTTTTATGATATAACCATTGTTGCTATTTCCCATTCCCTTAATTGTTTCTGGGAAATATCTTTTTGTTAATCTAAAGATTAAGAAAAAAAAAAATTATGATAAAGATATGTAAACTATCCAAACACTTCATTTTCTCCAGTTGTTTAATTTAAGTCATGCAAATCCTAGGAACATTATCAGCATCATGAACTTTGGGAACAAATTATCTATTATTATCTTATTTTATGGTGGTATTCAGATTATATTTGAAGGTTTAAAGTCACCACTGTTCATATTAATTTCCTGCCTTTTTGAATATTTAATTCTTAAAGTTCTAATATATATTTTTTTTATAGGAGTTGCTAGTCTAGTTGGTGAAGCCCTATACACAAGAATCATTGTCTTTTTGAACTCTTCATAGCTCCATAGGTGTTTTCCTGGATATTTCAGAGGGTGCTTCATTAGCTAGCATATATGGTTTTCCAAGGACCTGTTGATTGAAGAATAATTTTGTTGTTAGAAACTCCAATTTTATTCTGAAAAAGGTATGCTCCTTTATTTTCTTTTCCTGGAATTCATGTTGTTTCTTTTCTTTTGGTGCTCCATGCATGAATTTCTTATGTCCATACATTGTGAAAAGAACTTGGTATGATAGAGTTTGATAAATTTAGGGGAAACATGATCGTACAAGATTCAATTAAGATTTGACTCTAGAATTAGGTGACTGCTGGTTAATTAGTCATCTAAGAAGCGATTAGCACAAGGCTTTTTTGAGCTGTTTCATGTTATGAGCCACGCTTGAAGGTAAACTTGTCTAATTTTTACTGGGAGAATTATTGAATTTTGTTTCCTTTGATAGTGTATATTAATCATCTTGGTTATATTTATTTCGTCATGTGTTGTGCTCGCTGATAACATTTTGACCCTGCATATTTGTTTTTTTTTTTTTTTTCTGTTTTTTCCTTCAATCTGTCAAATCAAAAATTCAATAATTGTAAGTATCTAATTGTTTGGTGCCGGGATGAGTTGTCTATTGTTCTACATAAAGACAATTTAGAGGGCTACAGTTGCCTTGTAACGACCAAGTCCATTTGTAGGGTATTTTTAAAATGGTTATGTATCTGTCTATTCCTTTATTCCTTTTTTTTGTAGAATATTAGATTAATGTGGTTGCCTTTTGTTGCGGTGGACTATATAACTGACTAAAAATGACAATATTGGGCAAAATATACTACTCTCTAAAGCAACAAGCCTACCAGTTTGAACTGTGGAGCATCGGAGGCAGTGAAAACTGATAATTGGTTTGAAGTTTGTGTTATATATAGAATTTTGTGTGCAAATCATAATCGTATTCATTCTAAGGTTCCTCACTGAATTATAATGATTTTGTCATCTGCCATTCATGCTCAGTTCGGGCTTGGCTGATTTGGTGGTGCCAATGGTTCACAATGCTGTTCTGACTGTCATTGTGTGTTTCCATGCTGTTTGTGGTGGTTTATCTTTCATTACTTTTTTCTTTTTCTTTTTTTAATGTTTCTGTTTCTAATTCTCATTTTGCTTTTCTACGATTTTTTTGTTGAGACAGGTCAAATGGAGATATCTTTGTTAAAAGCGCTTCTTAGTAATATTTCCTCATTTCTAAGTATTTCATCTCTTGACAACATAAACTCAGACCTGGTGCAGAAGTATTACCAGAGGTCAGAAGAGATACTGAAGTTGTTGAAGCCAATTCTTGATGCAATTAGTGCTTCTGAAGTTGCTACCAATGAAGTGCTTGGCAAGACATTTGGAGAATTGGACCAATCTGTAGGGGAATTGAGAGAGCTCTTTGAAAACTGGCAACCGCTGCTCAGTAAAGTTTACTTTGTAAGCTAACAGCCATATAATCAGTTGCATGTTTTCAAATTTAACATGGAAGCTTTAGTTTTTACTCGTGAGTATTACTAAAAAACAAGAAAAGAATTGAAGCTGACCCTTTAGATTGCGGAATCCGATGGTTACTGATAGTGTGATGACAATGATTAAAGTAATTAAACAAATGCATAACTTTATGAAATTTACTGCCTCAAGTTCTTAATTGCTCGATCATATTCAAAGGAAAAGGGTTTGATGTCTAGTGCCACTCTGAAAAAATTAGGATATTCTTTGCTAGTAATCAAGTCATGTGTAGAGCATTTTTAAACAATCCGCTTTGATAACCGTCTTCTCTTCCATTTGATTTTTAGGTTCTGCAAATTGAATCATTGATATTCAAGATTCGGAATTCTGGTGCGGACATTTTCCAATTTCTGAAGTCTTCTCATCAGCATCTGCCTGATGAATTGAGTTCATCATCTCTTGAGGTAACTATTGTAGAAACACATTGAAGCCTGAAGGCTTGTCAAGTTGTCATTTGTTATGAATGGAGCATGTTGTCAACTTCTCTTAGTAGTCATTCAAAAGGTTATTTTTTTTAGATTAAAGAGCATTGCTTTACCACAGAGTTAATTGGTTGGAAACTTATTGAAGCATGGGTGGGCATCCAATTCATGAAATTCTAAGATGAGATAAAAAAAATAATGCTCGCCTTAAGTACTTATCTTAGTTGAATGGATAATGAATAAGGTCCATTTTATGGTCTCTAACAGCTGTCATTTTAATTGCAGCACTGCTTACAGAAACTTAAGCATGTGGGATATGAACAGACAACATCTGTTATTAAGGAAGCTATAAAGGATCGAGAGGATGGTGTTTGGCGCAATGCAGAGATGCTAGTTAAAATTGCAGACAGCCTGACGTTGAGGTCAAACCAGGAGATTCTCATTGAGGCTGTTGCCCTTGAAAAGTTAAAGGAAAATGCTGAACAATCTGACAAGACTGAAGAAGTTGAGTTTATTGATCAAATGATTGCTATTGTAACTCGCATGCATGAACGTCTTGTTTCAATTAAACAGTCGCAGACCTGTAGTCCTGTCCCCATACCTGCTGATTTTTGCTGCCCCCTTTCCCTGGAGCTGATGACTGATCCAGTGATTGTGGCATCGGGACAAACCTATGAGAAGGCTTTCATCAAGAAATGGATTGATCTTGGGCTCACTGTATGCCCAAAGACACGGCAGACTTTGGGACATACCAATCTGATTCCTAATTACACTGTAAAGGCACTGATAGCAAACTGGTGTGAATCAAACAATGTGAGGTTGCCTGATCCCATGAAGACTCTGAGTTTAAACCCACCTTCTCCCCTTCTTGTGCATGGAGATTCTGGTGTGCAAAGGGATTCACATAGTTCTCCTCAATCCAGGGCCCAAACAATGTCATCTGACTCCAGACCTACATGTTCATTGGGTAAAAACATAACTGTATTGAATGGAATTCATCAAGAGGGAACATCCCCACCACATTTCACTTCAACTTCAAATGGTTCTATGTCTGGTGTTACTGGAAATGGGCTAGGTCTGGATATTGCAAGGATATCAGTAAATAATGCTGAAGACAGATCAAGCACTGAGCAGAGGGATAGAGATTCAGGCTCCCAACCATCTGTATCTCCATCTAGAAGAGAATTGTCCAATGCTGGACAATCATCTCAGAACCATACTAGATCTGCTTCAGCCTCCAGTATGCCTTCTAATTCAGATTCTCCTCGAGGAGCAAATGAAGATGCCAATGAGACTGCTGTTGGATCAAATCATCTCACAACCTACGGCAGTGATGGTTCTGGAGATGTGAGGGCTGAGCCACATGCTGCAGCTAGCTCAACCATCCTACAGAGAGACCCTGAGTTCCCACCACGATCTCGTAGCCAAACAATAAGGCGTCGGCCATCAGATAGACACATCCCAAGGATAGTTTCCACTCCTGCTATTGAATCAAGACCTGATCTTTCTGCCATTGAAACCCAGGTCCGTAAGTTGGTGGAGGACTTGAGCAGCTCTTCAGTTGATACTCAAAGACAGGCAACATCTGAACTCAGGTTACTTGCCAAGCACAATATGGATAATCGTATTGTAATTGCAAACTCGGGGGCCATTAGCTTGTTAGTTGAGTTGCTTCACTCATCTGACACAATGACTCAAGAAAATGCTGTCACAGCGCTTCTAAACTTATCAATTAATGATAACAACAAAACACTTATTGGTAATGCCAATGCAATTAAGCCTCTTATTCATGTACTTGAGACTGGGAGTCCTGAAGCTAAATCAAATTCAGCTGCTACTCTTTTTAGCCTTTCAGTGATTGAGGATAACAAGGTCAGAATTGGAAGGTCTGGGGCCATCCAACCTCTTGTTGACTTATTGGGGAATGGAACTCCTAGAGGAAAGAAAGATGCAGCTACAGCTTTGTTCAATTTGTCAATATTTCATGAGAACAAGGCTCGTATTGTGCAAGCTGGCGCTGTAAAATATCTAGTGGAGTTGATGGACCCAGCTGCGGGAATGGTTGATAAGGCAGTTGCCGTTTTGGGAAATCTTGCTACAATTCTTGAAGGGAGGAATGCAATCGGTCAGGAGGGTGGGATTCCTGTTCTAGTTGAGGTTGTTGAATTGGGTTCTGCAAGAGGAAGGGAAAATGCAGCCGCTGCTCTCTTGCAGCTTTGTACAAACAGTACTAGGTTTTGCGGTATGGTGCTCCAAGAAGGAGCTGTTCCTCCACTAGTGGCTCTGTCACTGTCTGGCACGCCAAGGGCTAGAGAAAAGGTATGCACCCTACTTTTCCAATATCAGCTCTTTTCTCCCCTCACTCCCCCTTTCTTCCACATCTTGTTCTGGAAAATTAACTAAGCCTTTCCTATTTGGTTACAGGCTCAGGCGCTCCTTAGCTATTTCAGAAACCACAGACATGGAGCAGCTGGGAGGGGCTGATTTCAGAAACAACCTTCGTTTCCATCCTAGGTTGTAGGTCCAGGTTTTTATACATTTTTGTGTATACATTTCAACTTGCAAACAGTGCATTAAGGTTTTGCTACGTGGATTTTACCTATTTGTATTGTAGAGGGAAAACAATGTGAGTATTTGATTGAATCCTCTTGTGAAATACATATGTGAATTTGGGAAGAAATTTTATACATTGGAATCTAACCGTTGTAGTGACTGGTGAAATCAGGGTTATGTTTGATGTTGTGTTCACAGTCCACTGACACCCTCACAGATACTGAATATTAAGACTACTTTGAAATGTATGCTTCCAAGCAAGTGACTAGGAAGGAACACCCATCTAGTGATTATTTTTCATTAATGAGAACCCATCACTGTTGTGCTTGCTTTACATCGTAATTGTTTTTGTTTGAGTTGGCACTCAAACTGAATGGGGAGACAAGGCAACGAGAATAACAATTCAGATTCTAGCTGTTGGTCTGTTTTCTGGGGCACTGCTACAAGTATAATACTATGTTGATATTAGCTAATATGGAATGATATAAAATATGATGTAATATTAAATTAATAAATGTGTTTTTTTTTTTTGTATATTTGGTTATGACTTATATAAGTGTAAATAATATTTTGTTATTCTCAAATCTCTCTCTATCCAATTCAAGACTCAAACTTAATTTTAAATTAAAATTTTAAGTTTTTAACCGTTAAATCACCTTATTAGAGTTAAATTAATCAATATATAATATAATATGTGCTTTTCAAAAAAAAAAAAA